TTTTGATTAGTTAACCAGGTCGAATTTTATAATTCCCCCTTTGTTGAATATGAAACACTACTTTCAGTCTTTTTTAGTTGACTAATTTAAAAAGATTAAAAAAATTATTTAAATTAGTTAATTGTAATAAATAAGTGTTGACTTTCCTATAATACTCTTGCTAATCATGTGTATTAGCTAAAATTACCATTTCATAAAATCATTAATATGTGTAAATACTACAAAAACTATTTTAGAAAAAATAGATAAACATGAAAGATAAAGTAGATTGAAGTTTTATATTTAGAACTAAATTAAAAGTTTAATTTGCTCTTATATTAAGAAGGTAACATGTAACATCATTTTGAGGTTAAAAAAAAAAAGCAATTTGTCATATTTTAACTGTTTTGTTAAATGATGAGTGATTTATATATGAATATTTTATTTAGTTATGAATTAATTTTTTTATTTATGCATTTTTTATATATTTCTATTACACTATATTATTTGAATCATAACTAGGTTAACTTCAATTGAATTATGCACAATTAAATCACTCATATTTAAATCATTGTCTCAACCAGTTCATAGTTGGTCAGCACATTATTGACATCTCTTTGGTTGGTTAGTTATATACGTTGATTATTTGTAGAACTCAAGATAATGTATAACCAAATCATGATTTTTTTGGTCAACTAATTAGCTCAAAGCACCCATCATATAGACAAAATGATAAAGTTAAGATATAAATTTGTTCCGAAAGTTTTTACTTAGAATACTAGGTATTCAAAAATTTTCTTACACTCAATACTACCTCAAAAACTTCAAATCATACCAATACGCCACTTACAATTAAAAAACTAATGTTGATCGTTAATATTTTTTTTAAAAAATTACTATGATTTTAAATTTTTGGAACAATATTAATTATTAAACTCAAAAAAGTTTTGGGTATCCAATATTTTGAATGAAAACTTCTGAATCAAATTTACATCTCAACCCTGTAAAGATATCTTTTCTATCCTCTTTAAGGCGTCACCTTCCATTTAGTTTATTTTATTGTATTGCGCAATGCCCGTTTGATATCTTCATATAAATATGTGTGTGTGTGTGTATAAAAGTCTTATCATTATTCTTCCAAAATAGCTTGATTGACATGAGATGATGTTGTTGGGCCAAGTTATATGGTCGTGCATTCTAGATTGGACTTATTGGACCTTTAACCTAGTTCAAAGAGCCGATGCTAACTTCTTCTTGTTTATTAAAAAAAAAAAATTCTCATTTTCAGGGTTAACGCTCTACTCTATAAAATAATTAATTAATTTTAGATATCAATGTTATAAAATTCACGGGAATTTATTATCATCTTGAAAAAAACAAAAGAAAAAATGGTGCGGATACTAATTATAACTTTCTATCCCAACCTTATACAATTTGGTTTTTTTAATCCTCAAGAACAATATTTTAAAGGGAAAAAGACAATAAAATACCTTAAAAGACAAATCAGTGTGAGTGAATTTCAAAATCCCAATTCAAACCCTTAATATTATTTTAAAATTTTTAAATCTTATAAAATTATATGAATACCCTTTACTATTTTTTTTCCCAAATATTGCCACCTCAACACCCTTAGCTGGTTTCCAGTTACTAGAGCTCTAGCACTGACAACCCTACTAGTGGGCTTCTGTCGCCGGAACTCTAGTGATTGATCGCCAGAGCTCTGTTGACTATTCTTTTTTATATATTAATTATTCTTTTTTAGCTATTAACTGTATTTGTTTTTAAAACTTTGATAATTACTTTTGTTTACCTATTAATCACTTTAATGTTTTTTATTTGGGATTTTAAAATTCACCCACCCTAATTTGTCTTTTAATATTTTTAAAGATATTTTGGTGTCTTTTTTTTATATTTTAAATTGAGTATAGTTCTTTAAAATCTAATAACAATATTTTAAATTGAGTCCTCAAAATTTATAAAGATATTTATAGGTATCAGGTAGATACAATAGCAGCAAAATCCAAGAACAATAATTCTCAAGAACAATAAAAAGAAAATACACTCCAAGTTGCATCAAAATCCAAGATCTACATTTTCGTTCACTATATTATAACCTTAATAAACTAAACATAGACGTCAAGAACAACTTATATAGACTTTTCACCCAACATCCATCAAGTTCTAGTTGATATCTTCATCTACATTTTGATAAAAGCATAAAATGGCTTACTTAATGCAACACTAAAGTTTCAATGATTTCCAATCGTTGAAGTGGACAATACAAACATATTGTCCCTGTTACTAATCCAAACATTTTCCCTCCTCCCTCCCGATCCACAAACATAGTACAATCTCCTATCTTTATTATAAAACTTGCTTTACTATTTAAGGTACATGGTAGCAAATGATTTGTTAAAAGAAAGGAAACTATAAGAATCATTTTTTGAACTCACATACCTTGTTTCAAAATGGTTTCCGGTGATTTTTCACTGTTTCGGCAGCAATGGCGGCAGCTAAGTGCCTTTTTGACTTAGGCTTAAGGGTGGGGTTTATGGTGGTAGGATTGTTTAGGCTAGGAGTGGATTTTGACCATGTTTTAGTGTTTTGGTTTTTATTTCAAACTTTCCGTTGAGTTTTCTTATTATTCAATCAAACATAAATACTTCTGCCCAAAAAAAAAAGATAAATTAGTTAATTATAATAAATAAGATATGAGAGTTCAAATACTTCTATATCATATTACATTATATATCATTTTATAAATTAAATAAATAAATTAGTGAGTGAAGGTGCCTTGCTTTGCCCACTTGTGATGCGGTTAATGAAAGCCCCACCTCTATTGCAGCTTGGCCTCCGTCCCTCTGATGAGTTATCTTCATAAGCGCTTCAAGCTGCTGAAATTTACAATTTTAAATATTACTCCCTCCATTCCTTATTATAAGAGACATTTAGTGCTTATGGCATGTTCCTATATATAAGAGACACTTAAAAGTTGTCTCTACTTTTTTGTGTTGATTTCCTATTTTACCCATATTTATTGTCTCCAACTCACACTCTCTCTCCTTTCCACTTCTCTTTCTTTTAATAAATTACCATTATTCTCTCTCATGTTCTCTCTCCTTATTAATGAGGGTATTTTTGGAAAAAGAATTATACTTTTTACATATTAATTGTTCTTAACTAATTTTAACTGTTTTTTTGATCAACGTAATTCGGTTATTCGTCTCTTATAATAAAGAACGGAGGGAGTAAATCTTAGCTGAGAGGGACTTCGCATCAATTGCATCAATATAGACATTCTCATGAAGCAAACTTTTTTTTTTCCTCTGGGGAGGAAACGCTTTGTTGTGGGACATTCCTTTATTTCTCACTATTTTTAAGTTTACTGCCCTTAATCATCTTTCAAGTTAGCATCAACAATCACTTGCACCCAAAAGTGATTTACCAAAACTCGTTTGTAATCACGCAAACACGCTTCAAAAACACTTGCCACATGATTCGAGACAAAATTTTTACAAATTACCTCATATTCTTAATATAAGAATTAGTTGATTAATTTAAATAGATTAAAAAAATTATTTAAGTTAATTATTTATAATAAATATGTGTTGTTTTTTCCTAAAATATTCTACCTTATGTATAACTATTACGAGAACTATTTCAAAAATAAAAAAATATCATAAATAAAATATATTAAAGTCTTATATTTAGAATTAAATTGAACATCGAAAGTAATGTTACTTTGTCTTACGTTTTTTTTTTTAAATTCTATCACCATTTACAATTATTAGCTTCTACTAATGTAATTTGGCAAATTGTTTTCTCATTCTCATACCTGTCCTCATAAACCTTTGTTGCCATCACTTCTTCATAGTGAGAGTCTGAGAAAAATTTTAGAATTCTGAGTACACTTTGACCTTTTATTATTTACTCAATGTTTCCATCCTATTTTTTTCCTTAAGTAATTATTTGTTTTCTATTATTCAAAAAAAAATTATTAGATTTGTGAGATGAACTTTAAGCTGTGTTTGTTACGAGATTTTTGAAGGAGAGAAGAGCCTCTTCTCATTTGGTAGGTACATTTAAGGAAGGAAGGAGAGTTGCTTCCTCCCTCTTTTGCCGGTAAAAAGAGAGGAGGGGTTCTCATCTTTTTTTTTTTTTCCCTCTTTAAATCTCTTCTTTAAAAGTGAGATTTTTTTTTTTAAAAAATGAGAAATAAAATTTTATATTTTAAAATTAACTTGAATAAAACATTTTTATTTCTTTCTTATCCTTTTGATTTGTAATGTGGAAGATATATTGGCTAGTGCATTTTTTTTCATGTGAATCTTTTTATTTTGAAAATGTGAATATTTAATTTAATTGCAACTTAGATTGGTAAACAAATTCAATGTACATTTTTAATTTGTTTTTTAAAGAAAGTTAGTTCAATTAAAAATATTATTATTATTATCATTTTGAACAAAACTAGTATATAATTTATGATTTTAATTTTATGCACGTTTAAAAATTTTTTATTAAATTTATTGAAATACATTTTATATATTATCTAAACCCTAAAATCCCTCTTCCTTCCTCCTCCTCCCACTTCCCCCTCTATGCCTTCTCTTTTCTTGCTACTCTCTCCTTTTCTGCTTCTCCCTTTCCTTTTAGTAACATCTCTTTCTTTCCCTCCTCGTTGTTAAGCTAAACACGATGTAAGCGATTATAATAAGTATCCATGATAATTTTAAGAAAATGTAACTAAACATGAAAAAAATAATAACTCAATTTTACATTTATAATCAAATTAAATATTCAACTTAACAAACAATAATTCACCATTTTTATTAAAAAAAAAAACTTTTAATACCTATACCAAAGACCAAGAAAGTACTTATTATTAAGCATTCAACATGCATCAAGTAACCCCACGCTTGCATTTTCTAATTTCTTGCTTATAATGACTTTTAAACAGCATTTTCACTCATAGTCTACAAAATCAAAAAAAATTCTATCAACATTTCTGATTTCAAACATAACGGAACGGTAAGGAGATTCCTTAACAAAAACATCAAGATCATCACAAGTTAAAGAACGAACTCGTATCAAAACCCAGACTAACACTTTCTTTTATTTCATATTATATTACACTCTTGTTAGGTAGATTCAAACGAAAACCTCAAGAACAGTACAAAAGAACAAAATCCAGATTCATGTGATCTTCTTCCTTAATTCTTACGCTGAAGCCTTCGTAGCCTTCACATCTTCTCCAGAAGCCGCTTGATCCTCAGCAATGTTAATCACTTTAGGTTGCCTCTTCGTCTCTTCTTTGTGCTTCGGCACAACAATTCTCAGAACCCCATCTTCAATTCTCGCTCTGATCTGATCCAAATCTGCATTCCCAGGCATTCTGAACTGTCTCCAGAACTTCCCATTGGTCCTTTCAGCTCTGTGCCATTTCTCGCCCTCCACTTCGCCCTCCTCCTTCCTCTCCCCGCTTATCCTCACCACTCTGTTCTCCTCCACCTCGATCTTCACGTCCTCCTTCTTCATCCCCGGAATGTCCACCGCGATCACGTGCTCGGTCGGCGTCTCCTTCCAATCGGCACGTGCGAGAGCCAGGGGAGTCTCAAGGTTTCGAGGAATGTTCAGCGGAGATTGCTCCAGGATTCTGAACGGATCGTCCGATGGGAACATTGTGTCCCACAGGCTTCTCGTGTAGGGAATTAGGGCTTCGCCGGTATGGAAGAGAAGAAACATTGATGCTATAATCAGGAAGAAAGTTGAAATCGGAATTTTCGAAGCCATTGCTGGGTGGTAGTTTTTCACGTACGCGAGAGCAGAACAGATTTTGATGCAGAAGAAGTTGCGATGTTGTTGATGATATTCGCACAACGAAGATGAGCGGCGAAGAAGGGGTTCTTATATAGTAGCAGGAGTGGGCGTCTGGAATTTTCTTGAGATTTTCCGAGAAAAGGAGCGAAACAGAGACGTCTAGGACTGTCTAGAGAGAGAAGCTGGAGTTTCGGTGTTGGAATGTTCCGGAAAATGCTAAAAATAGATTGTTAGTCTGGTGCTTGATACACGCGCTACTCCGGACGAAGAAAAAACAAAATAAAATAAAAATTACATAATTATTAAAAAAAATCGAAATTAATATTTATTTATTGAATTTTTTAATTCCAAATAAAATTATTTTAAAAAAGAAACAAAATTATGAACTAATTAAAGTTCATTAATTAATCACCAACTTGTATTATTACAGTTAATAAATAATAAAGGCTAATCTCTTATTCCAGAGAAATTAGTCTCTCTGACTTAAAAATTAAAAGGTCATATCATATCTAGTGAAAAAATAAAGCAGAACACAGAGGGTCTTAGTGTGATTTTAATTTTGAACAACCAATGCAATGTGACTTATTTGTGGTAATAAATTGCAGTTTTGTGGTGTCCACTATCAATTATATTTACTACATGTTTAAAATTTTTAAATTAAAATTTCATTAATTAGCTGAGTTAGCTAAATCTTTTTTTTCCCCTCCGTCTAAACACTTTGGTATTTTAGATTGTGTTTCGTTCATTATTTTTATATCCCTTTGCTCAAAACTTTTTTATTCTCTCAAAATTGCTTCAGCAACGTTGTTTCCTCTCTTAGTAATTTCTTCTCACACAATGTTAGCACTTTCTTGCTACATATCTTACACAGTTAATTTCCTCTCAAAAAACACTTATTCATCACCTCTTATGGGCACATCAAAGACGAGGAGACCCTATGCTTTATTGTTTTGTCACACTTTTCATAACAATTATTTTGGAACCTCTTAATACTTCTCCCGTCATTAATATAAGTCACTTGTAATATATTTTTACATATCAAGAAATATATTAAATTGATAAAAATTTTCAATTACTCCTATTAATATTTTTTCTTTCCCTCTATTTACTAATCATTCTCATATCTTTCCCTTCTTTCTCTCTTTCCAATGGAAATTAATTAAAAGTAAAATTGAAAAACAATCAATAAATGCACTAGAAGTGATTTACTTCTAGGATTGGAGTGATAGTCTTTTGTCTGTCTAGATCCCTTTCAAAAAAGTGAATTGAGAGTCTACTCTTGCATGTCATTTAATACTCTTTTTGCTTCATAAAGTAAGTGTTTACAATCTGCAACATGGCCAAAAAAAAAAAAGTGTTTACAATTATGCCATGGCAAAATCTTAAATATATATAGATTGTCCCTCCTTACTAAGTTCCCAAAAAACCAAAACCACCACATGCATCCTCACATCATATTGTGTAACATCTTGACTTTTCTTTTTAGTGTAAACTGAGCTCTTGTCTAGTATTTGGGTATGATTTGAGTTGCTTAAGATTTAGAAAACATTGGTATAAGATCGAGAATGAGAGAATTTGAGGAGAGCCATGAGAAAGACTAATTCGGCCCAAAAAGAAAACTCCAAAAAGACTAACTTAAATCGCATATTATTTTCCTAGAGTCACTATACATAACTATAAATAGCAAGATTACTTTCACCAAAAAAAAAAAAAAGGCTACGTATTTTGACAACTAGTTAAAGGAAAATTATTATCTTCAGCATCTGTATAATGTATACATAAATAAATAGGAAGTCACACTTTTTTATAAACCATAAACAGTGACTCATTTTTTTGGACTTTGCACGGTGGATGAGGCTTACATCTGATTTATATAATCCATTCATATATTAACCTAAAACCTGATTGAGTTAACTTATAGTAATAATAAGTTAGGGAAAATTATCACCTCCAAGATATCTAGCATCAAAGTCTTGAGATTATTTAGAAGAGTACCATCTTGACCAGAAAAGATAGTTGAGGAAGTTGAGGAAGCTCAATGCAGCAAGCAGCCAATAGAACAAATCCACCCTATCTTTGTTTAGATCATTTTCATGAAGCCAGCCACCATTAGAACTGGTACGGGTGATCTTATTCACCAAAGAGACCAAAACTGAGCTCAAGTAAAACCCAAAGGAGTATGAACAATAAGTGATTGAAGTCAAGAATGCCTCCATTCCTCTAATGTTATTGGATTGTTTGTAAAAGAACTCTATGAGTCCCACTGCTGTGAACATCTCAGACAACCCAAAGATCACAAACTGTGGTGTAATCCAAAGAATGGGAAGCTTTTGGTTGAAGTTCACAGCTTGATCTCTTCTCTTCTTCTCCATAAAAGCTGCTGAGATCATGGAGAAAGTCGCTGCAAAGAGGCCAAACCCTATTCTGGTTAATGGGGAGATACCTGAATCATGGCCTGTGAGTTTTCTGGCAAAAGGGACAAAGAAAGCGTCATAGAGAGGGACCAAGACAATGAGGAGCATGTAAGGGATGCTTTGGAGGGAAGCTGGAGGGATCTGGAAGGTTCTAGAAAGATGGGTGTCCATTGAAGATCCTTGTTGAACTGAGAATGTTTGGAGTTGAGCTAGGATTGTGTTGAAGATGATTGTACAAGCAAAGATAGGGATGGTTGAGAGTAATGTCTTCACTTGCTCAACTTGAGTAATGCTGCACAATCTCCATGGAGTTTCCTCTGGAATAGTCTCACCTTGGACTCTGATACATGCCTTGTTCAAAAACCTGAAATAAGAGTAATTTCTAGACAGTTGAGCAGGTTGTGATTTGCGAATGATAATAGAATCCATAGAATTTTATGTAGGGAGAGAGAAATTGAGAGAGGTAGGGCCTGCCTTTATTCCTTGAAGTATGGAAGGGAGATGAAGAATCTTTTCTCCCTGCCTTATACATAGGACCAGAGGAGTATATAGGAGTGGGTTCCGATTCGTGCAATTGCATCTAAAATCTATGAAAGTTGACCCACGTCTTTCTCCTTATAACGCTATATGTTGTTTCAAAATGTTTCATAAGAGTTTTAAATTATGTTTTTCAATTAGTTTACTTTCTAAGTCGTTAAATATTAATTTTCTTAAACATGTCACTCAAAATATTATGAATGAAAATTCTTATAGATAAAATGGAAAGAAAGAAAGTCAGTGGAAGTACCTGAACTTATCCGTATGACTCTGACCCTCTCTAGGTGAGTCAGTAGACTGGCCAACACTATTGTTTTGGTCACTATGAACATTTCTCTTTAATATTGCAGCCACAAACACCTGACAGGATTTGGCATTACTTGTATGGTTCAAGATACATCAGATTGTATTTCGAGAATATAATCTACATATTTACAGATTTCACTAGTTAAATTCTCCATCGAATCTATCCCATACCTCAATTAAACGTCAATTTTTTTAATCCAAACAACACATGGCAGATTTTATACCCACAAGTTACGACAACACCATCGCTCCTAGATTAAATATGTCCGATATATGATCAATAAAAAGACTATTATATATTACTACCTACGGTCCCTAATGTAAGACCCAAACGATTAATTTTAAAAAACTAAAAAAGTTAATAAATTACTTTTAAGTATTTATATTCATCATTTTTCTCTAAAATAATATGTCTCACTCATACATTGGCTTATAATCTAATGATAGAGATCATGTAGCATATGTTATAATTAACTAACTTTCTTAATCTTCCCAAATTAGTTAATTGGGTCTTATATTAAGGATCGGATGTACTAATAAAAATGAGAAGAATATAGAGTCATATGATTCTTCATACTTGAGCAACGGGAGTGAGAATGCTGCCTTGTGGAGTCTTATTCCTATATGACAAAGTCCCACATATCAAGCTAAGTAGCCCCAGCGCCATAGCTGTAGCAGAAACAGCGAAACCAGTGTCCATGCCAGAGTGAGTTTGGACCCAAATAAGAAGGGTTAGGGCAACAAGTTCACCCATTGAGAAGGCAAAATAGGCAAGGTTGAAGTAAGTTGAGAGGCTCTTTAATTGTTGTGAGTTGCGTCGGTTGAATTGGTCTCCTCCATGAGCTATCATATTAGGCTTCACACACCCACTTCCTAATGCCACCATGTATATTGCCAAGAAGAATATTGCAGCTTCCAACCCTTTTGCTTCTTGGCATTCACCATTTAGTATGTTGGAGCATTTGGATGGCTTTAGTTCGGGAAAATGTGCTTGCATTGACAATAATATGAAACCCTATCACGGAGAACCATGTATAAGCAATACACACACATATATAAAAGGAAGGTTTCGTTGAAATGTTTGCAAGGATCTTATAAAAGAGAAATTGTTATGTACTCTTAGAATGTCATTTCATTTGTATTCTCATGTGTAAGAACAATTCATGTCAAATGAATGAATTAGATTCAAATTTAAATAGTCTAATTACATTATGAGATTAAAAGTAATTTTTACCTCTAAACTATTACATGAGGATCACTGATTATGAGTATTCTTTGACTAATAGATAGTAACATTGGTCGTTAACTTCAAGAAAAAAGATATAGGCTAGTTTAGGGTATTTTTGCTCCTAAAGTATTTATGAAAGGGCAATCAACATCATAAAGTTCAATAATGTGGAACGATCGGTACCCCAATTTTATAATTAGGACTGGAGTTAATAGTTATTTGTAAGAAGGAGGGCTTACAAAGAGTTCGAGAAAGCTAAAGATGAGGATGGTCCGAATACTGCCAAGAAAGGAGTCAGAAAGATAGCCACCGAGGAGAGCCATGAGAAAGATAGTCCCAACGAAGTTGGTTACAATGTTGGCTGATTTTGGGAGAGAGAAACGCATGTCGTTTACCAAATACGTTATCAGATTGTTTCCCACCGCTGCTACTCCCATTATTTCAAATCCTTGAAACCCTGTGTCGTTCCAACTCTTCAATATTAGATACATTGATAAAATTTAATTGATTCATGACTGGATAAAAAAGTAATTAAAAAAATAATCCAAAATTGATTAAAAAAAATGTTATGGTATTCTATGTTATAGTATTCAACCTAATCAACCTAATAAGAAGAGTTACATTGCTATAACATTGTATTCTCTGTATACTATCTCCAACCATAATGCTATAACGTAACTTAATAATATTTTTCCACAATTGATTTAAAAAATTGGGTATAAAAAATGTGACCATTGACAATTTTATAAATTTCTATACTGGCTAGAAAATAACTGTTTCTACACACTGGTTAAGATTATAACTAGTGTACAAAGTCCTTTATTTGCTATGAATGTCATTTGTTTTTTATTCAAAAAAAAAAAAACAAGTGTACAAAGCCAATGTTTTCTTTATATTGATTAGTTTTACAATTGGTGTGGAAAATAAAAAAAAATTAAAAAGGTATTTTAGTCATTTTTTACACCGGATAGTTTGATGACAAGTGTAAGAAGCATTACAAATAATAATTAAAGAAAACAACACCGCAGTACATGAATCACAATTTTTTACCGTCCATTTTCATTAGAAAGAATACAATAGCTATCCAAGATTTCTAATGTGAAAAAAGGGTTTTTCCAAGTTGCCTATTGTAAAAATTAATTTAATTAGACGTCAGAGAGCAAACCACACTACAAATATTACTTCCTTTGTACTTTTTCTATTTTTTGAGTATATGTATTCCCATTGTTGACCCATTGACACGTAACTTGGTCAAATATTGCATATTATCATATCTGATGCCAATGTGACACTAATGGTCAAACATCATCAACATATCATCAGATTCCACCCATATAAATCTAATAATCTGCCTTTTTCCTCAATTGGAAAAAGCTAGGAGGCTTATTTTCATGTCAGATTTCTCCAATTAAATTAAGGAACACCAATTTGAGGAACAAATTAAATTATTAAATCTCTCCGGAAAAAAATTATCTCATTACTCAATCCCAACTAGATTAACCCTGCGCATTTACACAGACTTTAAGTTGTACATATTATTTATGCAGAAAGAAAAATATGTACACTGATTTGGTAACAAGGTGTACCAAAGGTTAAAGGGAAAAAAAATCCACCTTACTTTCTTCAACGGTTGTCACATGCAACCGGTGTGAAAAAAGGATTATTTTCTACACCAGTCAGTGTCACAATTGGTGTAGAAAATAAATAAAGAAATAGCCCCACATCTTATTTATGAAAATGCCACCATTCATACTTTCTGTAGAAATATTTTTTTTCACTGGTGCGCATCATTTGGCATTTATGATTGTATGGCTTCTTATAACAACTTTACACACATACACACATATATTTTTATGATGTGTAAAATATACGAACAGTGCCTAAACAATACAACCTATTTCTTAGGTTCTATATTGTTTGCAGTGCATATATTTATCTACTCAAGTAAGAAAAACATCAATATTAATATATTATGAATCTACATTAAATATATTCAATTTGTAAGGATCGATATTATTACCACTTACAAATCATTAAAAGTATGATTCATTTTCTCAGATCATATTCTGTCATTACTAAAAATATAGATTTTTAATGTGACTTTCAGTGACGATAAAAAAAAATCCTGCTGAAAGTTAAATTTTAGTGACGACTTTAGAAAGTTACGGCTAAGAATATGTCTTTTGATGGCAATAAAAAAATTGCTGCTAAAAATTAACTTTTAATTGTGATTTCTTTTGTTGCCACTAAAAATCAATTTTTTTAGTATACACATGTGATCTACCTAATCAACTCATAAAAGTTGGCAGTTTTGCTAAAATTCTGGGATTTTTAGTTTAACATCAAATTAAACAATATGCATAAACAAGAACCAGAGACGAAGAAGGTTATGTAATGAATTAAAAAAGAAGAAGAAGAATCAAATCCAAACAAAAATAAAACAGAAAAAAATAATAAAAAAGATCGATAGAGAGATACCAAGAAGAAAAGAAGCAGCTGTCATTCCTCCATGCTTGTTCGGATTGGAAGGTCTTCCTCTCCAATCAACATACCTCTCTGATTCTTCGTCTGTATTTGCATTCTCTCTCCTAATTTCCTCCATTTTCTCTCTCTAAATCTAACTATTTTCTCCCTGTTTTCTTCTTCCTTTTTTCCTCCTAAGCTTATTATTTTCTCGACGTTCTTTTCTGTGAGAAGAAATAGATATTTGCCCATTCCCATTGCTACTTTTATACGCAAACGAATTGGTTTGCTAGCAATTTCGTGTCACTAACTTGGGGAAGAGAGAGAGAGATTTATTTTCAATTATATTTTTTAAATACATAATATATAATATGATGGTAGAAAAATTAATTTCGTTAAATTTGTAATATACATGCATTGACCACAAACGAATGTATCCAAAGGGGGATTCACCTTCCTGTAACAAAATCCAAAACATTAAATGCGTTTTAGATATAAGTATCCAATAATTAGAAAATAAATTGATTTACTATGTTTAAATACGTTTCAAGAAAAATAATCATTTTCAACTTTATACATATAGTCAATGTTGTCAAACTCACGAGTTGACTCTCCAAGTTTAACGTTTTTACGTTTTCAGTTAGCAAAACCGTGTCAATTCACTCTTAAACTCGTGATAATTGTAAACTCGATTAAACTTACGAGTTCATTTATCGAATTTACTGTTTTTACATTTTAAGCTTACAAAATCGTGTTAACTTACTCTTGAATGTGATAAATTATGAATATTAATGGATATAATTTCAATTATTTAAATTTAAAATATATTTAAATGAAATTGTTCTCATTTTTTATATTAATTATTTGATTATATAATTTTAATACTAGTTTATTAATAAAAGTAAACTCTTACGAGTTCACGATTCGAGTTTATATCATTCTCACAGGTTTGTTTAAACTCGCGAGTTTGACAATCTTGCATGTAGTCTTGAATAATATGACTTTCTTCAAAATACATATAATTTACCAACACTAATTGGTTAAAGTCGCGTATTCTTCTTGCTGGTAAAAGAAAGTCGCGTATTCTTCTTAATTGATTTGAGTGTCGAAAAGTATCATTAAAAGCTCACATCTATTTAGTTTAACCCGACTTGATCTGGATTAGTCAAACTTTCCAAAAGCTAATTGGTATACATAATAATTAATGCTTATGGTCATTTATTGTGAAGAATCAATTAAGACAAATAAAAGGAAAAGACGTAGGTTTATTTGTTTATGTATCCACCACTACATTCAAATCTTAACTTATGAGAATTAAGACTCCATTCCAAATCCTACAATTTAAAGCTCATGATTCTTTGTAAGAGATTAGAGGCCTAACAAGATTCTCACAAGATTTTCATAAATATATTTATTACTTTATTATTCATTGTCCTCCCTTATTCATTTACCTTGTAGGACCAGTAATATTTAATTCGCTGGTAGTGAGTTTTTTTTTTTTAAATTCAGAAGTACAATGTATTTATACACTTGGTTCAGATTTGGCTAATTAGAACTAAATATATTTGTTACAACACTCTAGATGTAGAATAATTTTTGGTGGACTTATGTTTTGATAATTCAAAAATTAGAGGTCACTTTTGCAAAAGAAAAAAAAAAGTAGTTAACTCCTTAATAAGTTTTAAATGTGTTTGAAACTCTCTTCAAAATTCCATTTCTTGTGTTTAATTATAGTTTAAATCTTCAAAAAGCGTTTTTCAGTTTCTGGTTTTGATAAAATCGATTTTGGGCTTGTCCAAAATCGAGTTTGCATGTCTTTAATTTCATGTTATCTTTGTTGCCAAATAGATTTTGCACTCCGTTAATTTGTTGCTCAAACTTGATTTTTAGTGTTTGATAATAACAAAAAGCATTTTAAAAAAATACTTTCATGTAAATTGAGATAAAACTTTTCTCACATACTTACTTTTCGTAAAATTACTTTTAAAACTATGATTTAGTTTTCTTCCAAATACCCCCGTCTAATTAGTTATCTCAATCAATATCTATTTTAGCAGCATCATTTTTTTTTCTCCTCTTTGCCCGGTCATGCTTGCAAAATCGAGTTTAGTTTTCTTCAAAATTGATTTCAGCCCTTAGCCTTCTGTGCAACTTTTTCTTAAATCGATTTCTTTGTTAGCCAAAATCCATTTTGCCTCTTTTGAGCTTTGCTCTTTTTGAATGCTTTGTTTTCAAATCAATTTCGCTATCCTACATCATCGATTGTGCAATTCGTTTGGAATAGCATTTTCATCCCAAAACATGCAGTGGTTCTTTTATATATGTTTGGATAAGCTTTTAACCCAATTGATTGTTGAGGGAAAAGAAAAGAAACAGTAAAAGATGAATAATATATGCTGGAACCCTAATGAATGATAGGGCCCATGTTCTTCCTTTGTAATGCTCAATAAAATATTCTACAATAGCAGCTCTTATGAGATACAAACACGTAGCACTATACAGCTGTACACTTTACAACAAATATAATTTGAGCTAACAAGGTAAGTTTAGTTTTCACAATGTGTCTATGTTTTCTCTCTGAGTCATTTTGAGAGGAGGTATATGGACATGTTAATTGAAGGTTAATTCCAACTTCCTAAGCAATAGGAATGAAGCAGCCACTACTTCACCTTTATACTTTAAAGGATATAGCTAAGTGTGATGGCTATAGTCATCTAAAAATTGAATATAAAATTAATGACTTCTTGATGATTGTATTGGTGAAGGACCCCATAAATCAGTATGCATCAATTTAAGAGGTGAAAAAGCATGTAAATTAGAACTTGGAAAAGGTAATAATTTCAATTTTCCAGATTAGCAAGCCTCACAAATAAAGTTTTCATTGATAGTAAATTTCAAATTACTTTTATTCATAATTTGCTTCAAAACTTTAATTCTAGGATGACCTTAAGCATAATGCCGCCTAAGAAATTCACTATTGCATTTGATTTACAATTTACTGCATAGATTTGAGACTCCATCTTGATCCTACGTACTGTCTACCATGGGGTACATTCCTTGTCTGGGGATCCCTTATATCAGAAGCTGACCTGTCTCCTTGTCTTTCACAGTAAAACCGTGATTAGAAAAATTCACATCAGCCAAGTTATCATGAATCAACCTGTTAATACTCATTAAACTCTTAGTAGTTGAAGGCACGAGAAAAACATTTTTTAAGCAGTAATTTAGAGTTTGAATAGGGAATATTTGTAGAACCAATACTAATTATGTTGCTTTTCTCACCAGTACAAGTAGTAATGTGGGACTTACCAACTAGAGTCACATGATCAAGATTGTCTGAATGAGGAGTAACATGGTAGTTAGCTACGTTGTCCATACACCAATTATGATTCACAATAGTCTAAGGAGTTGCATAATGAGCTTGAGGAGGATAGGTTGAAAAATTATCTTGAAAGCGACAACCACTAGGAGGCTTGAAAGTGGGATCACATCAATAATAGCATTTTTCAACCAAATGCCCTGGACGTTGGCACAAATGGCAAAAGGGGTGGCCTCTGGTGTTCCTTCCACCTCCTCAGTAACCATGGTTTCTGCCTCTTCACGAGCCATTCCATCCACGATTGTAACCAAAGTCAACACGATGCTCATCAAGTTGATCCACATTAGCCGATGGTTGAATATTCAAGTTTGTTAATTGATTCAGCATCTCAAAGGCTAAAAGAGAAAATTGTGCTTCAACCTAAGGAAGATCAAATTTGTTAACATCTTCACAGCTATGGGATTGTAGTCAGAATCAAGCCCATTTAAAATGTGAAGAATGAGGTCATTCGTACCTATTGGAGTACTGGCAAGAGCCAACTCATCAACAAGATTCTTCATTTTTGCAAGATAATCAACCATTTTCAGGCCATGTTTTCAAGTATTATGCAGCTCATTCTTCACTACCATTACTTTGGCTTTGGAAGTAGTAGAGGTGAGTTCTCAAGCTCCTTTCCAAAGGTTTGCAGCAATGCAACAATGGAGTGATCGAGCTCCAATCTCTTGAGTCATCATGTTTCTGAGCCACCCAACAAGCATGCGATCCATTGAAAACCAATCTACATAAGCAAGATTCCTTTTGCTTCCTACACCATTAGGAACAAGCTTTGGAGGAGCATTACCAATACCATGGACATAAGATTCAAGATGGTTCCCCCCAATCAATGGGAGAACAATTGATTCCCAAACTAAATAATTGTTACAATCCAACTTGATGGCAGTAGTCTGGCTAGAAGAATTAAATAAAGAGTAGGCTTGGTAATAGAGGACGATTCACTAGAGGCTGAGGTAGACATGACAATGGCTAGCTCTAATGCCAAGAAAAGAAATAGTAAAGATGAATAAAATATGATGGAACCCTAATGAATGATAGTGCATGTGTTCTTCGTTCATAACGCTTAATGCAGTATTCTAGAATAGTAGCTCCTATGAGATACAAACATGTAGCACTATTCAGCTATACACTTTACAACAAATATAATTTACAATATTATGCTCTAACAGTAAAACCTGCTTAAAAGTAGAAGCCAAAACGAAATTGCTTTCCTATTGTTCCATGGAGAGAAGAAAAGCTGCTAAAGATGAAAGAGGTTTTTTTTTTTTGGAAGTGGGTTCCACCTTATTTTTTTCTTTTGGTTAAAACAATTTTTTTTCACGAAAAACAATCTAAACATAAATTATATTATAATTAATAACAGAATTCCATTTTAATTTAAACTTGCAAAAATCAGATAAAATAAAAACCATTTTTACTATTGTTAATCTAAACGTACCTTTAATTGTTGCAATTTTGTTCCTTCAATAATTGAATTTGTTGCTTTTGCTTTTGCGAATTTGATTTCCTTTTATTTCAAAACTGAGTTTGTTCTTTGTTGAGTAGACTCAAGATTAAAGAAATATTAAGGGGCTTACCTTACGTAGGAAGAGAATTGTGCAAACATTGGGAAGTTGTATCGTGGCACAAAAGGACCATTTGAATCTTGTAGAAATAGTGAAATTCTCCCGAGATATCTTATAACTGGACATAGGTCAAGTAGATTAAGATCAAACTGGTATAAATTTTTTGAATGTTACTCCTACTCATTTTCCCCGATAATATTA